GATATAGCCCAAGTGCCACCCTGCCACCCCACAAGTAGGCCAACAGCCCCCTGGGAAGGGCCTTAAGCGATACAATACACACAGGTGACACAGTATGTTACTAAGAATGGGAAGCCATTGAAGAGGGGTGGATCGGATTGTACCTGTAATGATTTGCAAAGCCCCCCACACCCCCAACACCTTGCCACACCACTGCAAACCCTCCCCCCAGGTGCTGTCATGATTTCATGTGCCTCCATGTCCCAGCCTTCCCACACCCTGCTATGGTATCCTGGCAAGGTATCTAGGTACACAACTTGGGAGTTACCCTGGCAGCAAGAGCAGAGTGTAAGGTGGCCACTAACATAGGCAACGCATGGTGGGGGGGCATGGGGAGGCATGTGCACCCCTTAGATTGGCTGCCGCCATTCCCAGCTACTGCGGACGGTCCTTGCTTGCCACCTGCCCCCCCCTTGCCACCAACACTTCCACCAGCATCTGTGGGTGGTCCCCACTCACCACTCACCGCTCACCACTCCCCTCCCCCACCAGCTGACCCAGCCACTGGCATCTGTGGGTGGTCCCCGTTTGCCTCTCACCACCACCCCCCCCACCAACACTGCTGCTGGCATCTGCAAGTGATCCCTGCTCACCACTCATCACCGATGCTGCTGCCTACAAATGGTGCCCCCCCACCTCAGGAGGCACCAGTTGTTCATGGACATTGATGCACCCCCAAAATACAGGGCAGCCTCTTGATGATGCTGGACCCCTCAGCTAACCAGGAATGAGGGGTGGAGCCACTGGGCCCCTTTGTGAATCAGCAGCAATGGGCGGGGCCACCACCTTCCTCCCTCCCTGGATGGCTCTGAACTCTGCTCCTCCTGGCTGCACACCACCCTACCTCTAGGTACAGCCAATAGAATCACATGGACAAATGACTGACATGTATTTCCACCAATGAACTGAAAAACAGGACTTTTTGCTGTCTGTTCCTCATCTAGAAATGGATAGGGGACAAAAGGTTTAAAAACAGGATAGTTGAGTATAAAATAGGACCAATGGCCACCCTAGCAGAGCAGCTGAGATAATGCCTCACATGCAGGGCTCCTGTAGTCACATCTGTCCCTGTCTTGGACTGGGAAGGAGGACTGGAGGGTTTTTTTTGCTAGGGGGACTTATTCTCATTCCTGCTGTACTGCAACTGCAGTGGTTTTCATACAAAGCTGCATGTCATCTCCTGTCCCTGACCTCAGGGTGCCATCTGCCAATCAGGCCTGTGGAGATGCCAACGGGGGTAGGGCAGCATACACCAGCAGTTGTAGCTACAGTTTACTTTGCTTGCAGAGCTCAATTAACACTTTCATTGTCTTTAAAAGCCTGCTTGGAGGGACAAAAAGGGGAAGGGGGAGAGGGAGGGGGAGGGAAGGGTGTTTCTGCATGACTGTGGCAGCTGCAGTGAGGCTCACTTCTCTCTGGAGTTTAGCTTGGCCCTGAAAGATAGGGCAGGGATGTGTTAGTGAAGCAGATTTATGTTCCCGTTGAATGAGACATGGGCTGATAAGTGCCCCAGGCCAGGGGGAGGAAGGGAAATTGGTGCCTCAGCTGATCTTCAGGACCGTAGGGAGAGAGTTGGGGGTGGGGAAGTGAGGGGATGGAGTCACCGCTCCACTCAGTTCTGAAGGACAGAAACCTTTGCCATATTCACTCAAGGTCTGAGAGGTCAAGTTCCAAGGTGATGGGGGCTCCTACAAGATAGAGGTCACATGCCCAGACTCTAGGTCCTGGGTCCCAATGTCCATGGCATTGGAGCTTTTCTCCCCATCCTGCATGTCACACTCCATGCTCTTGGCCATGGGTGAGAAGATATCCTGGGAGCATGCTTCCAGCAGCAGGTACACCTCAGCTCCTACATCCTGTGATTAGCATTCCCTCTAAGCTGCGTGGCGTGCATGGCCATGCAGGCACACATAGCAGTGCTGCATGAGCATGCCTGCACAGCCATGCAGGCCATACATCTTAGAGACAGTGCTGCTTGTGATGATGCAGGGACCAGCACAATGTACCAGACCCCTTTGGGGCCAGCTTCAGAAGCTTTGCTCTTGCCCTGTGGCCCCTGGCAACCTGCTTCTGGTCACCCAGTTGCCCCAGTGCTGGGGCTTCCCTGTGCCTCCTCCACCCCTGGAGGGGTCTTGTTGGCAACTCCTCCAGGCCTCTGGTGGTGCTATAGGTTTGCAGGGTGTTGACAGATCTGTCCTTGGCGAGGAAACAGGACAGCTCCTTGTAAAATGGCTTTGTCCACCCCTGGACCTCTTGTTGGCGTCAAGCATATGGTGATACTGACTCATCACCTTGGTCTTGGTGAAGCACTCTGCCCAGCCCCTGTTGTAGCCGGGCTCCACTTGGCAGGGTGCCTGGCCCTGTAGCTGCCTGGGAGAGGGTGCCAGTGCAAAGGCCAGGCTTCTGTGGGGCTGTGCCCATGCACAGAGCCCTGGGGCTGCCTGACAGGGTGTGCTGGTGTCAGGACCAGGCTCCTGCAGAGCTGTGCCCATGCATGGAGGGGGTTTCCTGGGCTCTGAGTCATGTCCGTGGGGTGACTCATGATGGGCTATGGGGGCAGGGCCTGGGGACATGGGTACCCTGATGTCAAGGCTGGTGCAGGGACACACACCCCTACCCCTCCCCAGCCTGGCTCCAGCTCACAACTGGCTGGAGGGAGGATTTGAGGCTGGGGACTGAGGCTTCACTGACTCTTGTCAGTGACAGCTCAGGGGCAGGGACAGCAGACAAGAAGAGCAGACAAGTTCTGGCTGAGGTTAAAGCACTGCCCTGTGGGGAAGAGGGGTGAGTGCGGTGCCACAAAGCCCCATGGGATGCTGGCGGAATGCAACCTACCTTGACTTGCAATGGGATCTGGCACAGACTGTTCAATAAGCACTCTAACCTAAAGCACTTTCATCTGATACCACATCCATCCAGTGTTAATCCACCATTTTTAACATTATCTACATGCTGTAACCATCTGTTCAGTTACGGTTGTAAAGTGCTTTCTGTATGCTTATCATGTGACAAGTGTAACATCTGTACCTAGCCAAAAAAGCATTATCATTGGCCAAACGTACATCTGAAGATAGCCACTTAAACAGGCTAATCTTAAACAGTTGAGCCAACACGTAAGACCACTCAGGGGCATGAAGTATGCTCGTAAGTGTTTTCCCCTATTGAGACCTAACGCTTTTTATAGTTTTTGTGCACACCAGAATAACACTAACATCTAATCAACAGCAGTAAAAAGAACCCCTTTCAAAGCTGTTTTTGAAAACAACACAGGTTATATTATAGTTTCCTTCTTAACTGAATTGCTTTTTCTTGTAAATAGCAAAAAATAGAAACACACGTAATAGTTTACACTGCTTCAGGAAAATTCTAAGTTTAAAGAAAAAGGTGAAAACATTTCAATTTGTCTTAGATTTGCTAAAAGTTTTTTGTACTACATCTAACAGTCGTGACAAATTTAAGTTAATTTTAAATTGTCACTAACACAACAGAAGTGTTGGGGTTCCTAGGAACTCCAAGTTCCTCAAAAAATATTACTTCCCTAAACAGCATTAGACATTATTTTTTCCAGGTTGCCAAATACAAATACTTGAATAAGACACCTTTTCTCTAACCACCACCTTTGGTTACTTGGAACTGAGGAGCTTTGTTCCACATTTGACATCCTACTAGTTACAGGGGTGGGCAATTATTTGGGCCCGCTGGTCACAGGGAATTTTGTTGAGGTGTTGTGGGCCAGGTCAGCAACCCAGCTCCACCCTCCCCAACAGCTCATCAAACTCCCTATGTAGCACGGAGCTGTAGGCAGGCTGGGGACGCTGTTCAGGAGTAGGAGAAGCAAGTGAGGCTGGGATCACAGGGCGGGATCACAGGGTGCTGAGAGGGCAGGGCCAGGGCCAGGGCCCAGAGCAGAGCTGCAACCTGCTGCCCACACACCCCTGTGATGGGCACAGGCTCTCTGGGTAGGGCCAAGCAGACAGTAGATTGTGGTTCATATCCACCTGGCTGAGCGCCCTGTCCATGCAGCTCCCAGCCAATCTCCATGGAGACAGTGGGATAGTGACAGTGTCCTGATCTCATTGACAGTAACACTGTCCCAATCTCCTTAGGAGAGTGACAGCAAGGGCCCAGACCAGGGCAGAGTCCCATTTCTGCAGGCAGGGACATTCACTGAGTGCATCATGGCTCTGCCCCAGCCTTGCGCTGTCACTGCCCCAAAATCCCAGGGTTTCCCTGGTCCCACCCACCCATCCTGCTCCCCACCAGCCTGTAGCCCCATGCTAGCTGCCCAGCCAAGCAGCCTGCCTGAGTGGGTCCCAACCTCAGCAGTGGGTGCAGAGCAAACAGGCCAGGGTGCCCAGGCAGCAGGGCTGGGTAAGGCAGTAGTGGCAGCCAGAAGGAGCTGCCCCCACTGCAGGCCTGCCAGGAAAATGGAGTTGGCAGCCACACCGCCCCAGCCCCACTGTGTGCCTGGGCATGCATCACGGCCCAGGCTGCCCTGGGCTGGACAGAGCTGGGGGACCTGCTGTGGGCTGAGCAAAATTGCTTCATGAGCAATCTAGCCTGCAGGCCATATTTTGCCCACATCTGTTCTAGCAGGAGGGATATATTGCATCCATACTGTTGAGATTGGAAAGTGGCTATTCAAATAGGCAAATAAGAAGTGTTCTGAATGTGCTCCTAGCACACAAGGAAATGAACAGTGGTGATTTTTTTATTACAGTTTTTTTATAGATTTGTGCTACAAAGGCAGGTTTTATTTTCTTAGACAAATGAAATTTCTGCTTCTAGTTTTCATTAAAGACAGAGTTTGCATTTACTTGGGATCACTGACTGCTTCTAAGGCTGCTTCATTCAATGCAATGAATCAGAATTGGCCTAGCATTTTATTAAATTCAATGTAATATATCTTCCTTTGTGGACTCTATCATTTATAAAGAAAGTGAAAGCAGGGAAGCACTTACCAGTCTCAGAAGCTGTCTTCACAGAAAGAAGTTTGACACCCTCTTTATCTGATGGGGCTCTGTTTTAGTTGGAAGAAGTTAAGCAAACAATTACTTTTGGATACAGGGGAGAAAAGACAACAGACAGAAAAAAGTGGAGCTGTACAACTGCCCCTTGAGACTTAGGTCATAGGGGATAACAAATGGAGTAAGAGTTTAATCTCCAGTCTAGTGGAAAGGGAGCCAACACAGAGAAAACTGGGAACTGGTGTACTTCAGGCCATGCTGCAGCAACAAGTGAGGGTTAGCACTGCCGGTCTCCGTATGTATGAGAAATGTGAGCTGCCTTGTTCTCAATCACATATTTTCCTTTTGGGTATTTTTAAATATGTTAACAGGTTATATTGAAGTAGAGAAAAGCAGAGAGAAGCACATGCAAAAATTGCTGCGTTCCTGTGTCCTGTGTCTAGGCTGACAGGAACACAAGGACATGGCCTAACTTACTGTTCGGTTCCATTCTCTTGCCTCTCTAGAGAAGAAAAAAAACACCAAGTTTATGTTTTCGTGACTGCATAGTTTGACTAAATAAAAAGTTCAAGCTCAGCCAATACTAGCATAAGCCTAGTTGGCAATTTCACAGTACTGCAGCAAATACACTAATAATATTTTTATTAACAGGAACGTTAATTTGCACTCATATAACTCCTTTCACTGACAGAACGATCTCACCACAGTTTTCTGGTGTCTGAGTACTCTCTGTCCTTCATGTTAAAGTTGGTCCTCTTTGCCTGGAATAATTAACTACTTTTGGGCTAGGCAAAGAGCATGAAATCAAAAGCCTGTGAGAGGAAGGGAGATATGGGTTCCAGGCCCTCCTGTAATAGCTATTTAAGTATTTTACTTCATGTTGGCAGTGAAACAGGGCATTGAAACGGTTATAGGTCCCTCCTTCTCCCAAGTGAGTGCAATAAGCAGTGAGCTCTAGATTCACACAAATGCACTCTCTTTCAACAAATATTTAATTCTGCCAACCAAAGAGGAAAAGCATCAATAGGAGTGACTGCAAACAGCCTGTCCCAAATTCCCTATCACTTAAGTCATTCAATGAATGAGTTTTCGTTAAAGCACCTCCACCACCATTTTGCAGTGTGGGGGTACTGTTACACGAGACGCAGAAGCTGGCTGGAGCGTGGTAATTACCATGCTCCAACAGTCTCGATTAATTGTGTTTCCTCCGACCCACTGTAACTACAACGCATCAAAGCAGCCCCATGCCTCATGTATAGGCACCTGATTTAGGGGTGAATTCTGGGAGAATGCAGGTTTAATCTTCTCAGGCAAGGGAGGGAATTGAATCTAGGTCTCCTCATTCTTGAGGAATGTTCTAGCCAATTGAATAACTGCATAAAGAGGTAGTAACATCTCCACTTATATAGATGTATTTGGTCTGGAGTCTGTTCTGCCAAGTAGCCTTTAAGTGCAAGTCCCTGGTCTCTCCTGAATACACTTTACCCACCCACTCCTCCATTCATGCTCCAGATCTGGAAATAAGCTGGTGAAAAAGCTCTGGAGCATCCCTCTGCAGTCACTTTCAGACCTTGGCCTTCAGCATGCTTGGGAATGCACACTGTTAATGACCCCAAAGTATTTTCACTGGAATATTTATTTCTATGCTTGGAGCATGCATATGGGAGCATATGTAGAGTGTGGGATGTGCTCAAGAATAGTTCAGCTAGGATGCGAGCAGTGTTCATGAGCCCTGAGAATGCCTATCAGACCCAGCCCTGATGCTGAGACAGGCAGTGGAAAGAAAGCTTAGTGAATAACACATGAACTAGATGCTGAGCTGCTCTTGCATACTTGTCAGAGGTACTTTAATGTGGAAACTTTTGCCTGTGCTCTTTAGGCTCTTCCAAGGACAGACAGCAGAGTGTGTGCTTTGTAGATGTATATTTTGGCCAGCTGAAGCTAAGCAAATACTTCAGAAGAAAGTATCACAGAAATCACAGATATTCACTGAACCTTTTTAATGAATTTGATTTGTCTGAGTTCACATTCATAGAGGGAAAAATCAAGGAAATTTTCTCCATCTAAATTTTGACTCTTAAGCTTGGAGCATTTAGTAATTTCCCAGGCAAGTATCACAATTTTGCTTCTATGTTTTTTTCAGTTTACATTGCCATTTGCTAAACTTAATACGATTTCAATTTACCTAGGCTATTTACCTTGGCCTGAACCTTGAAGACCTTTTTGTAAGCTCCAAGCCCCAGGAATTATATAACTAAATCCCTGTACAAAACTCTCAGCTCATGCCCATTTACAAGAAGATAGAGACTGTATTTGGCTTCAAATTAGAGTACCCATCTCAATGGTACATTGCTTTTGCCTCTAACTCACTAAGTTGGCCCTTTGCTGTATTTGGCAAAATTAATGCACTAGAGTTGCTTCCCCATTCAACATGTTCCTCTTCAACATCTTATATAGGCTGATTTATCAAAACCACTGCTTATTTATATATAAATATTCTTTGCCCAGAGCTTTTTTGTTATCCATTTATATATTTTATGTGTACAGAGAAAGATATAATTATTAGTTCTATTTCTCCTAAAAGGAAGCATTGATTTTCTCCCCTGTATTTTGAACAGAGCTGATTTTGTTTAGCAGCAAATTCAACTTATTTTGCATCCTGCTGAACCAAGCAGTTCCTCTCAGTACACAAGATTCATTGATAGAGTCAGCACAGCTGTTCATCAGGTAACTACAGCATAAGGGGGAGCATTAAACTCCGTATGTTGTTGTGCTCTACAAGCATAATGAATATAACCATTTCCTTCCTTACCCATATCATACTCTAGTCTTGATAAAGAAGTGTTTTGTTTTGTTTTGGGTTTTTTTGTTACTAAAAATTAGAAGGATTAGCTATCAGATCACAATTAAATGTGGATGGCAGGTCAAATTAAAAAAAAACATGGCAATATTCCTCCAATACGTTATAACGGATTGAAGACAGTTTGCATAAAGAAAAGTGGTGAACAAATACCTGGGGTTGTCTTCCGGCACATTTTGCACAAGGCCACCAGAATGAATACAGACAAAGTTATTACTATTAAGGCAATCACAACTGGCAAAATAACGTCTGCAAAAGATGGATAAAATTATTTTACTGACTACATTCCACTTGTAGAACTTTAAAATATATTAATATAAGTAAATTAATGCTCTACTCCAGCCTCTCCTACAGCAGCAGCAACAATAGCTGTTCGTTTCTCTTCTGTATATGTTGTTCCTCTTATAACCACTAGATGGCAGGCTTGCAGCTTTTTGAAAACAGGGCTGTAGGCGGCAAGGCCTTCCCTCCCCCATCCCTAGTCATTCTGGAGCTTGTCTTTCGATGTCAGTCGCAACTATGCGGAGAGTGTATTTCTGCACACTCTTCCTTAGGACATTGTTATCATTTTTCCCTGCATTGGAATATTCAGTTTGTAACCTGTAATCATGATTAGGTCACCCCAGATGGTAATAGCCCCATATAAATTGTCATCACCCATGTTCCAGGAACTTGTTTGGGTTTTTTTAAGTCACATACAGTGAAACAAGATGAATTTGGAATGTAGTGGCTAAAGTGATTATTTCTCCTTTATCATGACAAACACCGAAAGACATGTAGAAATTGCTATCTGGTAGCATTTTTTCTCTGTACGTACAACCAGGGATGTGGAACACAAGCTTTCTTTAAAAATGAGGGCATTTCTCTCCTTTTATTATTTCCCACCATCTGCCATTTCCTGACAGGTGTTTCCCAGCCAAGAAGAAAAGGCGTGGAAAAAGAAGTTATGTAATAGTGATGCTTTTTTGGAAAATGTACATGACAGCCCCTGTTTTTCTCAGGTTATAATTGTTCACAGCTTCATTCTGTCAGGCTCACATTTAACAGGCTGTAACCCAATGACCTAGAGAAGAATGCTCCCAAGTCTTCCCTGCAATATGGGAGTCTTAGGTTTCAGTCCAAACCAGGCTCCAGCTCTCCTTGAGCTGGCAAGAGCTGGCAGAGCTGAAGAGGCAGAGCACTGCAGCTTTCAACAGCCACCTTTTTGCACTGATTAAATGGCAGTATTGCCAAGATACCGGGAGAGTGGGCTTGTTCCTTGCTTACTGTGCTGAAGGAGTAATAGATTCAGACTCTAGGGCAGAACAGTGGGAGATCATTTGCATCATTCACCAGCAGTCTTTCTGCTTTCAGCTAAAAGCACTAATGTTAGTGTCTTAGTGTCTGTTATATTACCTGGATCCAATGGAAGGGCTGACCTGGATTGAAAGACAGGGGCTGCTAAGAATACCTAGGATGGAGGATGATATGGGCAAGTGACATCTTCATGGCTCCCCCAAGGATGCAGCTCTTCCCAAAAAGTTTGTTGAGGCACTTAAAAAATGTATGTATTGCTACTGGAGGCAAATTTAAAGCAGTGGTTCCCAAACCAGAGGTTGCAACCCCAAATGGGATCCGAGGCACCATAGCAATTCAATGGTAAATAGTCAGGTTTGCACTGGAAGTGGGGTTGCGACCCTGGAAGACTGGGAGCTTCTGTCTTAGAGAAACACTTAAGTTGTGTATAGCTACACAAATACACTGGTCTTAGAAATCAGAGCTGCAGTAACACTGCCCCATTAGATGCATGTCTTATATTATACAGTAAGTAAGGGCCTATAAATAGCATTCAGTTGCCAGCTGCTTGGAGACACTCTGACCCCTTTGCCTTGAATGATTCTTTTAGTGTTAAATTAAGGGTTTCTGAAAACAGATGCAGGTAAAGGCACAATGGAAATCAATATGTGATCCACATGTGCATGGCAGGAGTGCAATTGTGGGATCATGCATTAGATCCCATTGCACCTTATTGCCAGTGCAGGGGGAGCCTGGGATTGTGATCCTGGGCTTCTCCTGCATCAGTTCCCTCAGCTGAGCCCCACAGCCAGTGGGACTTGCAGCAGGCAGCATTCCCTGTGCTGTCCCTGCTGCAAGCCCTACATCTGGCATCAGCTGCAGGACTTGCAACAGGGGCAGCGCTGCAAATGCTGCTACCACTGTGAGCCTCATCAGCTGCAGGGCTTCCAGTGGGAAGAAGGCTGCTGCTGCTGTGAGCCCTGCAGGTGATGAGGCTTACAGTGGCGGCAGCGTTCTCCCCACTGCTGGTGCTATGAGTCCTACAGCTAAAGACCCTGCCCGGTCTGTGAGCACCACACCCAGTGAGGCTCACTGGGGCAGCAGTGTTCTCCAGGCTGCAAACCCTGTGTCTGGCAAGGCTCCCAGAAGGGGCAGTCCAGGGAATTCTGCCACCACTGCCAGCCTTATCAGCTGTGGGGCTGGTAGCGAGTGGTGCACCCCTGTGACTAGGAGCCTCTCTGCTGAAGAGCTCCCAGCCAGAGGGGAGCAGTGGGGCACATGTTCAATTAACTGCATGATTAGAACAACTTACAAGGTTAGTACACATTTTTTGTGGAATAACTGTGTAGCTTACTGCTTGTTTTATCACTCCAGTAATTGGTTGAACATAAAGCTGGGTCACAACTGAAGGCAAGATAAACTGGTTAATCATGCCTTAAGTGTAACATGTACAGGGGGCCTGAGTCATACATCTCCCCATTGTCTTCACACCATTGGGTAGCCAAGTTCAAGCTTTTCACTTGCATTACTTCGCCCTCAGTCCTTGGGAATAATTCTACAGCTCCAAGGTAAGAGCAGTGTCATCTTGATGTTCATTAAGCCCTGTTTCTCTTGGAGAAAAGCCTTATAACAAAGACAGTTAAATTAGTTTTGTAATAGGGTCCATGGTCCCATAAGGATTGAGATAAGGCTGCCAATTTCAGTTTTGACAGAACCCTAATCACTCGCGCAGTACCACGCAGCTCTGCTGCAAATTGTAAAGATGGAGAATGAAGGAACATATTTACTCACTAGAAAAAGGGGAGCTGTCCACTATCTTGTCCTTGCCTCCAGCGCTGCCAGAACTTTCTGGAAAAGAAAAGAGTAGTGTTTCACAGTCAATGTTTTGTTATCATTTTCTCTTCACCTACCCTTGCTGGATTTTTATACAACCAGTCCTGAAGAGAAGCACAACTCTCTCTATCTTCCTCAACATGTGTGCTCAGAAGAACAGAGAAGGTACCATTCGAGTTGACAGATTGCTTCAGTGATTTTGAGCCTGGGGGAGAAGTCTTCCACGATGGGGGTTTTACCTGAAGGGATTCTGCAGTGGGCTAGGAGAAAATACTCATCAGGGACAAGGTATGTGCACCCTCATAGTGATTACGTGGCACCCTACCTTGGCACAATCTGCTCACAAACACACTAAAAGTGCACACAGTACACAGTCTCGTTCAGGAAGTCCAGTGTTATAGACATTTCCAACAAGGCCAAAAAAAAAGAAAAGAAAAAAAAGGTGGGTGAAACTTAAACACACATTTGAACAAAGTCTGACTAAGGGATCTACAAGCTAATAATAAATGAAAAAACACAACGAGCTAAAATGTTAGTAGTCTAACTGCTTTCTTGAGTCAGGTGTTTCAGTGGGAGTTGAATGCTTTCTCTGCTGCATTTATAGAGAAGAGAAATGGTTGGTTAGTATAATCAACAGTAGGTGTTCTCTGGGGATTTTCCAGAGGCTGTAGTATAAGGCACCGTTTTCTACCTTCAGGCACTAATCTGAATTCGAGTCAGGTATCAACTACCAAACAAGTTTATTACTGCACTGCAGAAAGGTTATAGCAAAGCAAAATCACTAAACTTAAGAGGAGGCAAATGTCTATGCTTCTTTGCTTGCCATTCTCATCATACACAAATTAACAAAAAAAGGTTTGAGCCCTATATGCAATAGTACATGAGCCATTGTGCACCTCGAATTGCACATACAATTATTGTAGCTGGGTGTGCAAACTTTGCAACTGCCCAAGTAAATGGAGAGTTAGGTGGGCAGCCACACAGCACATTTATCCAATATTATCTGCATTTACCGTAATGTAAATGTGGAGCAGACACAAAATACTCAGCCCTATGCCAGCATAAGGCACTCTACTGTGGGGTACTAGTTACCCCATAGAAAATCTAAAGTAAATGAGTGGGTTACATAGGCGTGCCAATTGTGTTCACAGCTCTAGTCAGTTTTTCTTATGTAGCACATGTTCGCTGCAGAAACTATTACCAAGTCCATCACCACTTAATGGTTATCTGTGTACTCTGAACACTGGTGTACCTTACATTGCATGTATGTTACAGAGTCAACCTGTTGCATGTCTCCACCCCGAGGTGCCTAACAATAATATGGTCATAATAGTAAAGTTTAAGCATTTATATAATTCATCTATGATATGAGAAATAGCTCCCACAAAGCAGACTACAGAGAGGAGGGCGTGTTAAAGATACATAGTGGGACCTAACAGGGGTCACATATATATTTTTCATTTACGTTACAGATAGAAACCCTGTTGGTGCATACGCGCTGTCCCCAAGTACTTGCCATCTAACCAGGCTAGGACTGGTTGGGGAGGCAAGGCAATTAAATATTATTAGCCCTATGTTACATATGGGAACTGAGGCACAGAAAGAGCTTAAGTTGTTTTTGTAAGGTGGCCTCAGAGCTAGGAAGAGATTACAAAGCTCCTGAATCCTTAGTCTAATGCCTTAGCCTCAAGGCTGTCATTTTTTTCATATAGATGCTGTAAAAATGTAGGAGTGGCATAGATTTCTTGTAACAAATTGAAAATCTGGTCCATCTAAGTTTTAGAGCTTGGGCTCATCTGATGAGAACTTCAGCTTTTCATAACAAACTATTCTGTTTAACTATAAAATAATACCTTGCCGACAGCTGCAAAAGGAGTGAGGGGGCAGGATCCCATGTAGGGTGGCCACTGACCCTCAGAATACAGGTCATCCGCTTGGTGAGGGCTAGGGCCATTGGGCCCCTTGACCAATCAGCAGCAAGCAGCAGGACCACCACAAAAAGGCCACCTTCTTCCCGCCCTCCCTCCAGGGCTGGCAAGGAACCCTGCTCCTCCTGGCTGTGCACCACCCTCTCTCTAGGCACAGCCAATAGAATTACGAGGACAAATGGTTGACATGTATTTCCACCAATGAACTGAAAAACAGAACTTTTTTCAATCTGTTCCTCATTCAGTAATGAACAGCAGACAAAGGGTTTAAACACAGGATGGTCCAATATAAAACAGGACCATGGCCACCTTAATCATGTGGCTTGTTTTTCCAAAGGCTTTCTGGATATTACAGGTTTGCTGCGGTTTCCATACAAATAGATTCTCAGAACTGTTTAACATCCAGTGTGAACAGGGTGCCAGGGCACTGGACTAAGAGTCATAAGACTTGGGTTTTAGGCCTGGCTATTACTGATTAACCCTGTGACCTTGGCAAGCTCTTTTAGTTCTCTGTTTCTTTTCCCGACCTGCCTTTGGCTTGCCTTAGACCATAACATGTTTGGATGAGGATTGTTTTTTAATGTATAGTGCCCAGCATAGTGGGGCCCTGTTCTCAAAAAGGGCATCATCTTATATAATATAGGTGATGGCTGTAGTCCAAGGCCATTATGTCTGCAAAATCAGAAGGTTCCTTCAAAGTACAAATTAGCTTTTCCATGGTGTCTATCTGTGATGTGATTATAATGTATGGCTAGAGTCTGCTATCTTAGACACTTTATGATGGTTAATTCTAATAATTTTCATAATTCAATGCTATTGCTTCAGATTCTCCAAAGAAATACTAGCAAACCATTCATTACCTACCTCTACTGCTATAGTAAGAATTAAGCAAGCAAACAAAATGTACAAGAACAACTGAAACTGTGTACTGATCTACTATAGCAACAGAAACAAAAAAGAAAGGCTTGCAGCATTAAATACCAGTCTTCCTCATCCCAAGTGTGAATTTGGAAGATGTGCAAGTTACAGAGAATAATCTATGCAGTATCACTGTTCATACTGAACTCTACTTGGACAGATAAAAAAAAAAGTCGGCAATATTTTACAGAAGCCTATCAGAAAAAGAAAGCGAATCCAAGGTGCAACCTATACTGTTGTTGTTATTCAGCAAGAAAGAAGAAAATCCAGAATTATGTTCCCCGCCCCCTGCAAAAAAAAAAAAATCTGAGAAGAATGGAGCCAGTACCTATCAGTGAACAGCTGGCATTTAGTAAGTGTCTTACAAGCTTAAATGCCTCATTGAGAGAGGTAAAGGACTACTCCACATCTTCAAGTGTCACAAAGCCTTTTAGAGATGAATCTTCATTAATTACTTGAGTGCTCTTGGCTAGCAGTTTGCAGAGCAGCAGGAGTCATAGGCATTGTTAATGAGGAAGAAATGGACCTCACATCACATAATGCATAATGTTTACTGGCCCACTACTGTCAGCTGCAGTGTCCACTTCAGCAATTTTCAGTGCCATACAGTAATTCCTGCTATTGTCAGCAAGCTGCTGCCCTAATATCTTGATTAGAATTTGTTTGGAAAGTAAGAAGTTAGTAGTAGTGCTGAAGTGATGATGTTGCCATGATGATCCAGGAGATATGCAAGAGGCAAGAATTTTTGTGGGTGATAGGTTTTATTGAACAACCATATGGTTGGTATAGACATAGGCAAGCTTTCAGTTATCACAGTACGCTTATTCAGGCCTCACAAAGTTTGTGAATGTTTCAGATGGGGAATCTAGCTACAAAACAAGTTTTTTATGATGTTATATTAAGCCTGACTTACACAAGTAATATACAAGTTACAAATAGTTGGGCATATAAGTTTGTGAGTAAGTGCATTGAGATGAGGGCTATGCAACGTCAGCTATTTCTATCTGCTGTGGACCTCACTGTTAGCACCCTTGCTTTTGTGGCCTACATCCTTGAATACAGAAAATAGGGCTAGACTTATACCTAGTGCAGGGCATGATTTCTGCTAAATGGGTGCCAACCAGGATCATGTAGCTTGTCTCCAAAGCTTGCATAGAGTTTTCCACTTCTTTCTTGTGTACCATTCAATGTGTTACATTTGATCTATGGAAGTCCTCCACAGTTTAGGACCTGGCTTTCTGAGCATCTGTTTTTCCATGCATGTGCTGCCATGGCAATAGAATGCAGCTGGCATGTTATGAATGGCTATTAAGTAAGATGTTTTGGGGTTCAAAGGCAATGGCCAACTCATTTTAACATGCATAGTAGGGCTGTGTGAAGCTTCAGTAACTGATTCAATCTGGAGGAGATTCGGCGCGATTCGGCAACAGAATCTCCAAATCTGAATTGAATCGGGAGACCAACTAAAAGGTCTGAATCGAATTGGAAGCCTCCAAATTGATTCAGAAAAGACTGTTGAGGTGGGCAGAGTGGGAAGGGAAGGGGCGTGGGGGGGAGGGTTTGGGTCTGGGACTGGGACAAGCTGCCCAGCCATGGCAGGAGGACACAGGACTGCGGGAGTGGGGTGGGGAGATGCAGGATGCGGGTGCAGCAGGACTTGGAGTGGGGGCTATGCTCTGCTGCTGCTTGCCCAGCTGAGGCGGGTGGCAATGCAGGCATGGCTCATTCTGGGCAGAAGGGGGCACGCAGCTGCAGGGCATAGCCCACCACTTGCTCAGCCAGGGTGGGCTGGGAGGCAGGATGTGGGTGCAGCAGTGATGGGAGCAGGGGCTATGCCCTGCTGTCACTTGCCCCCTTCTGCCCAGAGTGAACCTTGCCTGCATTGTGCCCCTCCTCCCACCCTGGCTGGACAACCGGCAGCAGGGCATAGCTCCTGATCTGAGCACAGCTGAGCCTGCATCTCGCCCCCTCCCACCCCCCTGCCCAAGTCCTGGCTGGACAGCTTGTCTCAGCCCCAATCCCTCTCTCCCCCACACTTTTTCCCTCCCCTCTCCGCCCACCACAACAGACTTACCAGCTGGAGGCAGCTGTGTCCAGCGTGGTAAAGACTGCTGCCTGTTTAGTCTATGGCCCAATCTCTGAAGCGGTGCCGAATCTTCGGATCCACTT